TCTTTTGTTGCCCCATATGAATTTTAGGATTCTTTGTTCTAATTCTGTAAAGAATGTCATTGGGATTCTGATTGGGGTAGTGTTGAATCTGTAGATTGCTTTAGGTAGAACGGACATTTTAACTATGTTTATTCTTCCAATCCACGTGCATGGAATGTCTTTCTATCTCCTTATGTCATCATCCAATTATCTCAGAAATGCCTTGTAATTTTCATTATATAGGTCCTTCACTTCCTTAGTTAAATTTACCCCAAGGTATTTTATTCCTTTTGTTGCAATTGTGAATGGAATTGTGTTCTTGAGTTCTTTTTCTGTTAGTTGGTTATTAGAATATAGAAATGCTACTGATTTACGCAAATTGATTTTGTACCCTGCAACTTTGCTGTCTTTGTTGATTACGTCTAACAGTTTTCCAATGGATTTTTTGGGGTTTTCTATATATAAGATCATGTCGTCTGCAAACAGCGAGAGTTTCACTTCTTCCCTCCCTATTTGGATTCCTTTTATTCCTTTTTCTTGCCTGATTGCTCTGGCCAGGACCTCCAGTACTATGTTAAATAAGAGTGGTGATAGAGGGCATCCTTGTCTCGTTCCTGTTTTCAGGGGGATGGTGCTCAGTTTTTGCCCATTGAGTATGATGTTGGCTGTGGGTTTGTCATAGATGGCCTTTATTATGTTGAGGTAGTTCCCTTCTATGCCCATTTTGTTCAGAGTTTTTTTCATAATTGGCTGTTGGATCTTGTCAAATGCCTTCTCTGCATCTATTGAGATGATCATGTGGCTTTTATTCCTCAGTTTTTTGATGTGGTGTATCACGTTGATTGATTTGCGGATGTTGAACCATCCCTGTGTCCCTGGTATGAATCCCACCTGATCATGATGTGTGATCCTTTTGATGAATTGATGAATTCTGGTTGCCAAAATTTTGTTTAGAATTTTTGCATCTATGTTCATCAGTGATATTGGCCTGTAGTTCTCTTTTTTCGTGGTGTCCTTGTCAGGCTTTGGTATCAGCGTGATGTTGGCCTCATAGAATGTGTTAGGAAGTGTTCCATCCTCCCTAATTTTTTGGAATAGCTTGAAAAGGATAGGTATTAAATCCTCTCTGAAAGTTTGATGGAATTCCCCAGGAAAGCCATCTGGTCCTTGGGTTTTATTCTTTGGGATGTTTTTGATTGCTGTTTCAATCTCTTTCCTTGTGATTGGTCTGTTCAAATTGTCTGCCTCTTCTTGAGTGAGCTTTGGGAGATTGTAGGGGTCCAAGAATTTATCCATTTCCTCTAGGTTATCCATTCTGTTGGCATATAGTTTTTTGTAGTATTCTCTTATAATCCATTGTATTTCTGCAGAGTCTGTTGTTATATCTCCTCTTTCATTTCTGATTTTGTTTATTTGAGCTTTCTCCCTTCTTTTCTGTGTAAGTCTGGCTAGGGGTTTGTCAATTTTATTTATCTTTTCAAAGAACCAGCTCTTTGTTTCATTGATCCTTTCTACTGCCTTTTTCGTTTCAGTAGTATTTATTTCTGCTCTGATTTTTATTATTTCTCTCCTTCTGCTGACTTTGGGCTTTATTTGTTCTTTTTCCTCTAGTTCAGTTAGGTGTTGTTTAAGATTGCTTATTTGGGATTTTTCTTTTTGTTAAGATGTGCCTGTATTGTGATGAATTTTCCTCTTAATACAGATTTTGCTGTACCCCCATATGAGCTGGTATGGCATGCTATCATTTTCATTTGTTTCCAGGTATTTTTTGATTTCTTCTTTAATTTCTTCAATGATCCATTGCTTGTTCAGTAGTGTATTGTTTAGTCTCCACATCTTTGTGCCTTTCTCAGCTTTTTTCTTGTAATTAATCTCTAGCCTTATAGCATTATGATCGGAAAAGATGCTTGTTATTATTTCAATTTTTTTAAATTTGTAGAGACTTGCCTTGTTTCCCAACATATGGTCTATCCTTGATAATGTTCCATGTGCACTTGAGAAGAATGTGTATTCTTGTGTTTTAGGATGAAGTGATCTATATATGTCTATTAAGTCCAATTGTTTTAGTTTTTCGTTTAGCTCCACTATTTCCTTGTTGATTTTCTGTCTGGATGATCTGTCCATTGATGTGAGTGGGGTGTTGAGGTCCCCTACTATTATTGTGTTGTTTTTAACATCTTCCTTTAGGTCTGTTAATAGTTGCTTTATGAATCTTGGTGCTCCTGTGTTGGGTGCATAGATATTTATAAGCGTTATTTCTTCTTGATGAAGTGTCCCTTTGATCATTATATATTGTCCCTCTGTGTCTCTCTTTACCTGTCTTATTTTGAAATCTGCTTTGTCTGATATAAGAATTGCAATACCTGCCCTTTTTTGCTTGCTATTAGCTTGAAGTATTGTCCTCAACCCCTTCACTCTGAGCCTGTGTTTGTTCTTGGGGCTGAGGTGTGTTTCCTGGAGGCAACAAATTGTTGGATCTTGTTCTTTAATCCATTTTGCCACTCTGTCTCTTTTTATTGGAGAGTTCAATCTGTTTACATTGAGAGTGATTATTGATGCATGTGGACTTAATGCTGTCAATCTGTCACTCATTATCTTGTTTTCCTGCGTTTCTTTTCCTGTGTGCTTTAGCCACCCATTTAATACTGCAATTTCTTATGCTGGGTTTCTTAGATTTTTCCTTATTTATGTTTTGTGGCTCTGTTCTGTTTTTTAGTTTAGTGGCTACCCTGAAGTTTGTACTTAGAATCTTGTGTATAATATAGTCTATTCTTGGTGGTCTCTTACTTACTTGGCCTGGACTGATTTAGACCCTTTGCTCTTCCCCTCCTAAATAATTATTTTCATTTCTTATTCCAACTCGTGTTATGAATTTGTAGTTAGAGTGATAAGATCATCCTTGCTTTGGTAGTTTCTTTACCTTTACCATAAAGCTATAGTTGAATATTTGCTATCCTGTTCTGGTTCTATCCATCAGTCTCCCTACTCTTTGGTTTGTGACCCCTTTCTCCCTTTTTTCTTTTTTCAGATATGAGAGCCTTCTTGAGGATTTCTTGTAGTGGAGGACTTTTAGTTACAAATTCCATTAACTTTTGTTTGTCTGGAAAAGATTTAATTTCTCCCTCATATCTGAAGGATATTCTTGCTGGATAGAGTATTCTTGGCTGAAGATTTTTATCTTTTAAAGCTTTGAATATGTCACTCCATTCTCTCCTAGCTTGTAAGTTTTCTGTAGAGAAATCCACTGAAAGTCTGATAGGAGCTCCTTTGTAAGTTATTCTCTTCTGTCTTGCTGCCCTGAGTATTCTTTCTTTGTCTTTCATTTTTGCCATTTGTACTACTATGTGCCTTGCAGTAGGTCTTTTTACATTGACAAATCTAGGAGATCTGAAAGCTTCCTCTACACACATTTCTCCATCAATCCCTACATTTGGGAAGTTCTCTTCTATAATTTCATTAAGAGCACTTTCTGCTCTATTTTCCTTTTTCATGTTCTCGGGAATTCCTATGATCCTTAAGTTCTTTCTCCTCATTGAATCCACTATCTCTTGGAGATTTTCCTCATTTTTTAAAATTATTAGTTCTCTTTCTTCCTCTGTCTGGAGCCATTCAGCCCGTCTATCTTTGATTATGTTAATTTGCTCTTCTATAGTGTCTACACGGGCATTCAGGGAATCCGTCTTCTGTTTTATCTGGTCCATTGTGTTTTTCATCTCTAGTAATTCTGTTTGATTCTTCTTTATAATTTCAATCTCTTTTGTGATGTAACTCCAGAACTCATTGGCTTGTTTCTCTATCTTTCTCTCTACCTCATTGAGGTTTTTGATTATAGCTGTTCTGAACTCATTTTCACTTAGTTTACCTAATTCCAAGTCCTCAGGACTTAATTCTATGTTTTTATTGTTTTCCTTCTGATCTGAGGCTTTTATAAATTGCTGGATGGTAGAGGAGCAGTTTTTTCCCATGGTGGTAGAATTCGGTTGCAGTTACAGCCTGTCGCCACTAGATGGGGGCCGAGAGCTGTACGTTCTGAGCTCTCTGCCTTCGGGCAAGATGGCAGCGCCCAGCGCGGTTTGCCGGGAGGGAGGGGCTGCTTTTCTCCTGTGCCATCTGGATTCGGATCAGTTCTGTTCTCTGGTCTCCCCGGGCCCTGGGTTTATGGGGTCCCCGCTCATGGATGCTTTCCCCTGTCTGTGGGGTGCTGGGACCTCTCCACTTGACTCCCACAAAGGTACTCTTGTCTGTGGGTCATTGTCAAAATTGGTGTTTCTGTGGAGCGATGAGGACTCAAAATTCCTGTTCTGCCATCTTGCTAACATCATTCTTTGAAATTGAAAGTGTTTAACGCCAGCATGAGAATATCATCCAGGTGGATGACTACCTATACCAGGCTCTTGACTCATAGGAGAGGTGATTCACTCTATAATTTTCTAGTGAAACAGGGTCCACTTAGAACAACAATGCAGGCCTCTGGATTTTTTGATTTATCCGTCTCATTTCCATTGTCATGAAGGCTACACTCTTGTTCTATTTCAGTCACAGCAAGATTGTATAAATTTTGAAAGGCATGGATTTTACACACTGAACATGGGTAATTCACACAAACATAAAAATCAGTCTTCTAGTGGGTGATTAAAAATCATACAATTTGGCCAGCTTGATCTTAACTACCATGGCATAAGAAAGTACATGTGTTGAATTTTTGGAAGGGAATTCTTCTCCTCTTTGTCACTTCCAACAAATTAACTAAGTGCTCATGGGTCCCTCTGACCTGGGTGGTACTCTAGTCTAGGTATCTCATCTCTGTTCACTAAAGATCATCTCACTAGATAGTTGTTTAAGTAAGACTTAGGCCCCTTCCAGCTTCCAACATGGGCTTAATTTGCATTTATATCCTATCTCGTTGTGTAGAGAGGACAAATACTTCTCTATGAAGTATTCAAATTACTGTCAACTTTCTGCATGACACATAGAAACTCATTTACTATCAACTGTAGACCCAACTGATCTTTGTACTCCCCTTCTGTCTGCTCCTAGCAACATGCCCTCTATGTTTGAGAGAACTAGCAAGAATATCACCAAAGAGATTGGAGACAAAGATCTGAGGCCTGCCAAAAACTTGTTGAGTGCCACCAGAATACATCAGTTTTCTTTATTACTGAAGAGGAAGACTCACTCACAGTTCTGGGAACAACCTGAAGTTCCAATTGAAGTCTCCCTCATGGACATCCTCGAACCAAGTTCTTCAGTCCCAGGTATTGTCAGCCGTGGGCACAGGAGACAAGGAGTGAAAAACAGTGGAGCTCAGGGAGAGGTGGTGCAGCACGCAAGAAATTCTGAGACATCCACACAGAGAGATCTCAGGATGAGCCTTGCCTGAAGGCAAGGGGCGAGGAACTAAGATTGTTTGAGAATTTACTGATTATTAACCAAGGAATACATTAGTTCATCTAGTACTTACAGCAGCCTTTTGAGATAGGAATATTATCCCCAGTTTACATAATAGTAAATTGAAGCCTACAAAATAATTAGTTCCACATTACATACCCGGGAACTAATAGAGCCAGGGTCCACACCCACGTCTTTCTGGCTGCAATCGAAATATTTTCTGCCCCAGTGCTCTCCCTTCTAGGACTGGATGCTGTGCCTGCTACAGGAGGCCCTTGCCTGGAAAGATTATGATGTGGGTCTCCTGGACCAGTATGCAAGTGATGTCACCATTTCTTAGGGTCAGGATATCATCCCTGATCTCCATCCCCTGGGTGGATTCAAACATTTGTCCTTGGACGTAATTTACTTTTAAAATATTAATTGATTAGTTAGCTTCTCAACTGAGAGATTAAAATAAGTAAGCGGGCTGGGGCAAAATAGGACTGTTATTCCATTTGGCACACCAGCTCTTCCAGTAAATTCTTGGCTAAACCTAAGGCTACTATTTCTGTCCCTAGAAACTGTCAAGACAGGACAGTTCCACATCACTGACACTGCGGTCAAGAAGTGGAAGGCTCGTGTGAGTGTGAATGCTGGAGTAGAAGCGGGCTTGTTGCCGGAAGCTGCTGAGTTCTATGGATCCTCCCTCCAATATCAGATTGTTACCATCCCATTCCATACCTGGACAGACCTTCAAAAGAGGTGAGGCTGTGGGAGGGGAAGGGAACGGGTTGGCAGGGTCCCAGAAGGTGCCCTCCTCTTAGGCAAAGAGACTTTGTTGCTGAGGTTCAGAATGAAGAAAATGACATCCCAGATTATGACGCTCTTCTTGAGGATTCATTCATACACGCATTCAACTTAATAGTTATTAGTTATGTAATAAATATTTACTAAAAAGGTTATTATGCATTACAGTGCTATTTTGTGCTGAGAATAATGACAAGACTGATCAAAATCCTTGTCCTAAAGCAGATTATATTTAGTGGAGTAGGGGACATGCAATGAGTGAGGAAATGTTATAAAAAATAAATTAACAAAGTATTAATTTAAGAGAGACAAAGACTCTGAAATTCTTTGCTTAAATAAAGTATGCATCAGTGCCCTAGGATTTAACTCCTTGCACGTGGGGAAAGAGACAGATCTTTAATAATCCTCTAAGGGCTTAACAAGAACTTCTCAAGTCTTTACGTCTTCTAGAGACAGAGATGTCAATTTAAATAATATTTCTATCAATGCAAAGAATTATTAAAGTAAGGAACTAATTAAAATCACAGACTGTTTAGAGACTAAAAGTTACTTTGACAGGGCATGCACAATTTCTGTATTCCTGGTGTCTTGTCACACCCTTCTTAGGACTAACATCTGCAAAGACTGTTCATAGTGCAAAAGATGATTTGGGTTTCTACAGCTGCAAGAAAAGAAAAAAATTTTGTCCTAGGAATTTCTTTCAGTAGTTAAAGAGGCTACAGTTTCAGGGATCCATTTTATTATCTAGCACCAAGAGAAATAAGTAAGCCTGAGCTCAAAACTTTAAATGTGAAAAGAAAGGCAATTAGATACTTTTAATAAATGGGATGCAGGGCATGTAATGTGTTTCAGCTAAAAGGTGGTCACAGATTGTGACGGGGGCTCTGAAGGTAAGCAGGAGGTGAAAGAGACTGGCTGGATGGAAGGGAGTCTGTTTGTGTTTCTCTGTGGAGCTAAAAGTTGAGCTCAGACCTAAAGAATGAAGGAAGCAAGAGCACGAGGGTCTGACAAGCCCTGGGACAGGACAGGGCTGGATATTTTCAGGATCAGCAGGGAGCCCTGTGATGTGGATGCTTAGTCAACCTTGAGGAAGGTGATATAAAATGAGGCTTGGAGACAAGCAGATATCAGATGACACAGCACCTTAGAGCCACATAAGGGGCTTGAATATCCCCCCAAGGGCAATGGGAAAAGCCAGTACTGATGCTCAGTGACCTCTTCCACTGAAAAGCATGTTAAGGGTCTCTCAGTGGTCCATATGGCTGTCATCCAGGGCACTAACTTCAGTGGCCTTGAGTATAATCAGAGTTGAGTCTCAGACTGAAATGGACATGAAATTTGTCTTCAGTCCTTCAGACCTCTCACACCTCCCCTGAATCTGTATCTTCAAGTCAGCCCTTCCAACCACCTATTAAGAACAGTGAACCCGTAAAGACCCACCTGTGATAGTCATGAAAAGTCACCCAGAATCCTCCCCGCTTCGTCTGCTCCACATCCCACCCTGACTGTGCCTTTGGACAGTGATGGATGTGGTTTCCCTGCTTTGACAGTAGGATCTCCTGAGGTCTGTTCTCAACCATGTGGACTTGTCTACTTCTAGGTTCTTCTGGTGAGAGGCCCTAGTGCTGGAAACATATAAACCAGCCCCTACCAGAGCCAATAGAATTTTTGAAAATGCAGATGTCTTTCACAGTATGGCATGAACACTCTCATACATGAACCCCTGTCAGAGAATGGGGGCCCCTCCACTGTGCATATCAGAGATGCTCTGTTGTCCTAGGTAACTTCACCTATAAGCCAGTATCTTTCTACCCATTTGGGGATCACCTGTCAAAGTCCACAGGCTCTGCACACCTTCTAGGTCCTGAGGAGAAGACTAACCCGAGTATCCTGAGAAGGCATCCCTTCCAACTCTGACCCTTCTCCTCTTTTCCATCCCCAGGAAATTGTTGGATCCAGAGCCATTATTTCTGAAGCAGTGCCGGAAAACAGCTGTGAACTTATATGTTGTGACAGAGATAGTGGAACTGCTCAACAGTCCTGTGCTGTATGAAACCAGAAGTGAGAACATTTTGGGAAAATTTTCCTTCACTTGGAATATGTTTGTTAAGGTATGGGATGGGGACACCAAGTGCATAGTCAACCCAGCCTCACTTCCCAGGGGAGTCTGGATCTTAATCAGTATCTGCTTTCAGTTGTCAGAAAGGGTGGGGTCATAATTTCTCACTTCTTCTGTGCCAGTGAATCCTGATTCCTAACCTGAGACTATATTCTAACATCCTCGTTTGTAGTGCTTTAATATATGGGATTATCCAGTATTGGTATAATAGGAAATAGATTTAATTTTGTGGTATTACATTTTGCTTTGGGTAAGTAATGGATTCTGGGGAATCTAAAGGTTTGGCTGCTGTACTGTATACATGACCAGTTTGTGTATGGCTAGAAGAAGTGAGGAACCACTAACAGTAAACCTCAGCAGTTACAGTACCCTAATGCTGTGATACCCTGAGCAGAAATGATTTAAGGAGTGAGATTTAAATACCTTCAAGCACATATGATTTACATAACTCACTCTTAATAGCTATCATATTTTTAACTGATTTAAGGAAATTCACATATCAAATATTTTGTGTCTGTTATAATGTATTTTGCACAATATATATATTTATGTGTAATTTGTCCTCACTTGAGAGATTTAGGGAAAAAAACAAACCAAGTTGAGAGCTAACTTTCCCAAAGTTCTTGATTTTGTTCTGGAGGAGGACCAGGCTCCACTCACATTATTTGATTCCAAGTTCAGTGGACCAAGAAATTTGAACTGAATAAAACATTACTATAGTTTGGAGGATATCATGACATTCAGCTTTGGGTTTCCATGTGCTTGTGTTTGTTTAACTGGGTTTTGTGAGAACAGAAGGAGAAAACCCTGTGTCATTTCACGTAGAGTGACTGCTCAGCTGTGTGTGCCACCTTCCTAGCTGTCTATAGTCAGCATGGTTCCAAATGTTGGCTCCTGCACAGTGATCTTGTTAAACAGTTTGCTTATCACCTCTCGTTCATGGGTGCAGCAATTTTGTTTTGGTCAACCAGACAAAAGATCAATAAGGAAATGGAGGACTTGAACAACTCTTTGTGGACCAGTTGGACGTAGCAACACTATGTAGACCATTAGACCTAACAGACATATACAGAACACACCATCAGCAGAGCAGAACACACATTCTACTCAAGCACACATGCAACATCCTTCAGTATAGTTATATGTTATGCCCCATGTAAGTCTTACCAAATTTAAGAAGATTGAAGTCACACCAAAAATCTTATCTGACCACAATAGAATGAAACTAGACGTCAATAACAAAAGGAAAACTGGAGGGGCCAGCCCCACAGCTGAGGTGTTATGTTTGCACACTCCACTTTGGCTGCCTGGGGTTTGCCAGTTGGGATCCTAGGTGCAGACCTATGCACTGCTCATCAAGCCATGCTGTGATGGCATCCCACACACAAGAACTAGAATGACTTACAAGTAGGATATACAAGTATGTACTGGGGCTTTGTGGAGAAATGGAATAAAAAAAAAAGGAAGATTGGCAGCAGATGTTAGCTCAAGGCCAATCTTCTTCACCAAAAAAAAAAAAAAAGGGCATACCTTCAAAATAAAAAAAAGGAAAACTGGAAAATACACAAATATGTGGAAATTAAAGTCTGCACTGTAGAACCTTCAATTTTACGTTTTTGATATCATCTCTAACCTCTTTTTTCTTCTGTGTGTATCTCTTATCCACTCATCATGGAAATAGATAATTTTAGTACTTTTGTCTTTTGACCTTCATGTTATCTTCATAGCTGGTTGATCTGCTACTTTGACTATATATTTGCCTTTATCAATGATTTTATTGTGCTTTTTGGTTTTTGGATAATTATCTTATTCCTATTTGTGGTCTTCTCTTTTCCGCTTAAATAAGTCCCTTTAGTATTTCTTGTAAGGTTGCTTTCTTGGTGATAAACTCCTTTAGTTTTTGCCTGTCTGGGAAGCTTTTTCTATCCTTCCATTCTGAATGATAATCTTGCTGGGTAGAGTATTTTTGGCTGTAGACTTTTTCCCTTCAGCACTTTAAATATTTCATGATACTTCCTTCTAGCCTATAAGGTTTCTGCTGAGAAGTCAGCTGATAAGTCTTCTGGGGTCTTCTTTGTATGTAACTTGTTGCCTTTGTCTCACAGATTTTAGAATTCTCTCTTTATCTTTAATTCTTAAAATTTCAATTACAGTGTGCCTTGGTGTGGGCCTCTTTGAGTTTATCTTATTTGGTGCTCTCTGTGCTTACTGTACCTGGATGTCTGCTTCCTTCGTTAGGTTAGAAAAGTTTTCAGCTATTATTTCTTTGAATAGATTCTCTGCCTCTTTTTCTCTCTCTTCTAATGGGACACATATTATATGAATCTTAGGGTGATTGACATTGTCCCAGAGATCCTTTAGACTGTCCTCATTCTTTTTTCTTTTATCTGTTCAACTTCAGTGATTTCCTCGTCTTTCATCCAGCTTGCTGATCCTTTCTTCTGTATCATCTATTCTGCTATTGAGCCCCTCTAGTGAATTTTTCATTTCTAGTATTGCATCTTCATTTCTGATTGGTTCTTTTTTATATTTTCCAGTTCTTTGTTGAAGTTGTCACTGAGTTAATCCATTCTTCTTTCAAGAGCAGTGAGCATCATTATGACTCTTAGTTTGTACTCTTGGTCATATTAATTTTTTATCGCTCTTTTGTTTAGTTCTTTTTCTGGGGTTTTGTCCTTTCCCCTTACTATGAACATATTCCTTTGTCTCCTCATTTTGCTTCTTTTTTTTCTGTGCTTATATTTATGTGTTAGGTAGGTCAGCTATGTCTTTTGATCTTGGGGAGGTGGCCTTATGTCAGAGATGTCTTATGAGGCCCAGCAGTGTGCTTCCCTCTCGTCACCAGTTCCAAATGTTCCAGGAGTGTCCCCTGTGTGGGGTACATGTGTACTTCTGCTGTGTCAGGGTTGCTCTTGCTGCAGGTGCTTGTGGAGGCTAGGCTGTCCCCCTAGCCAGTTGGTTGTAATGCTCAGCTGTATGTAGCTGCTATGGACACTTCAGTCACTTTATCAGGAATGGGGAGCCCCAGCACAGTTGGCTGCAAGGTCTAATAGTACATTCCTGTTGCAATTTTTCTGCTAAGTGAGTAGGCCCCCAGCATGGCTGGTTGCTAGGCTTATGGTCTTACAATTGTTGTGGGCCTCAGGACTGCAAGGCTGTTTTCAGCTCTCTCATGATTTCAGCTTACTGGGTCTGGCTCCAGGTATGGGCGCACCCAACTGTTTCAGGCTTTGGAAGGTAGAGATGATCCCCTATGTGGCTGTTTGAGAAGCACAACTCTAATGCAGCTGACAAGCCCCATTGCCTGCAAAGCCACACACCTGGTCAACATGGTCCTGCTCCTTGTGTGTGCCTGACCCCCTGAAGCAGACCCAGTTGCCCCACTACAGAGTCCCAACACACTCCACCAAGGCAGGCCTACCCCTCATGCATGCCCTCCCCCATAGAGGTGGACCCACTTGCTCTGCTGCAGAGGTTCCAGGCATCCCACTTATGTGGGCCCACAAGTTGCCTGAGGGCTTGATGTTGAGTGGGGCCAGTCCCTAGGGTGAGTTGCCCTGCCCTGGCTGAGTTGGATTAAATTGGCACTCTAGGGGGTGGGGCAGACCCTGGGCTAACCGGCCAGGGGAGGAACTCCAATGGAATCTGCCAGCATCTGTGTCAGCAAACCTGTACTAGGTCACAATGATGGCTGCTGCCAAAGTCTCAGTCCCTAGGGTGGTGTCACTCTCAATGAGATGCACCCAGAGCTTAGCAAGTGAGTCTCTTTTCACCAAAGGACTGTGCAGGTTTCTTTCTGGTGACTTTAGGTTGCTTTCCAAAATGGGTGAATTTGTGCATGGGTCCTTTAAACAGCAGGCTTTTCCCCCCCTTATAAGATAGCTTCTCTTGGGGTATTCCCTGATGTAGTTAATAGCCAGCAAACCCCGATATTATGACACTTGTTTCGGTTGTGCTTAATTCAAAAGCTGCTTATTGTGGTAATGCTCCTCTGCTCAGATCCCCTACTCTTCCAGGGAAGCCTTTGTACCTTAAGATTGCTCCCAGCTGGCTGTGAAGTGCTGTGGGTTGAAGGTTGATTTTTCCTCTCCAGGAGGGAATTTCTGCCTCTTCCACTGTAGTCAGTGCTGTCCCTTGTTGTGGGGGTTATTTTTATCCAGTTTTCAGTTTTCTCTCAGGGGTAATTGTTCCAAGAGTAGTTGTAAATTTGTTGTGTCCATGGGAGGACATGAGTTCAGAGTCTGCCCAATGCCACCATCTTGACACTGTCTCCTCAATTTTGCAAGATGAAAAGTTTCTGGAGATCTCTTTCACAACAAGGTGCCTAAGTTAACACTACTGTACTGTACACTTACAGAACATAAAACTTACCATTCGGACCATGTTTATCTTTTCCACAATGAAAATTAAGTAGGAGGGGTACATAATAATAAAAGTGTTATAAAAATTCAAGTAGCTTCCCTTATCTGTATAACTGAAATCCATCCTGCTTTTATAGCAAAATGTGGGGCCTTACTTATATCCTCAAATAACTTATTGTCATGTTCCTGTTGAATAGGGTACACATTCATAAAGACAAAAAAAAAAAAAAAAATAGTAGAAACAGCAGCAGACAAGAAATGTCAAAATTTAGAAAATCCTACTAAAAAGTAGACAAATGGTAACAGACCCTGGAAAGCAAGAATAGTGGAGCCCCAAATACATCAGGGAAGGAAGCCTAGAAACAAGAACCCCTGAAAGTTTCAGGAATTGGAGGCCTCAGCTACCTCTGAAGAGAGGGTACAGGTGGGACTGCACGTAAAAATATTGGTTGAAAATCTATGTAAGGAACACTTGGAGTTCCAGATCCCTTTCCCACATCTGCATAGCCTGGAAACTACCCTCACACTCCACCCTCGCCCCAGTAGAAGACTCTCTGGAGAATTTAAACAATGTGGGCTCTCGATTTGAAGAGACTGGTTACAATGAAGGATGGGGGTAAGGGACCATATTGGAAAAGGGAAAACAAGTGAAAATCCTTTTTTTGTGTGGGGAATCTGAGCCCTATCACCCCATTCAGCTCTGGGCATCCTGCCTCCACCTCCTATAAGCCCCAATACCTATATCCCAGGCACAGAACTTAGGGGTTATTCCCTGGGAATATTAACCAGTCCAAAAGAAAAAACCCAACATCCCTATAGTTGGGGATGCAAAAGAAATAGCTTGGTCCCTGCCTGATCACCCCAAAGTGGAATACCCCACTCAACAAACCCTGCCATTGCACACTTAACCTCTATCATCTTTATAATGCCTCATTTGTCAATAAAAACCACAGAACTAAAAATCATAAGCACTTGAGGAAAACCTTAGATATACACATACAAAACCCTACACTGAAATTAGGAAACCTGAATATACAAAGACAACTCAGAGAGGAAAGAAACACCTTATTTCTCAAAGTGATATATAGAGTTTCCATGAAAGTATGATGCTCTATAAAAAAGAGTATTCATAGCTCTTATAAATTAAAAAAATAGTAGCAAAATGTCATTTTTTTGTGAGTTTATTACTACTGATCAAACTACATTGATACATCATTATCACACAAAGTCCATAGTTTTACGTTACGGTTCATTTTGGTGTTATATATTCTTTGGGTTTTGACAAATGTATCCACCATTATAGCATCATGGAGAATTGTGTCACTGCCCTAAATATTCTCTGTGTTCCAATATTTATCCTCCCTCCTGCCAACACCTGGCAACTACTGATCTTTTTTTGTTGTCTCCATAGTTTTGTCATCTCCAGAATGTCATATGATTGGAACCATACAGTACTTAGCCTTTCAGATTGACTTCTTTCGTTTAGTAATATGCATTTAAGGTTCCTCCAGGTCTTTTCGCGCCTTGATAGCTCATTTCTTTTCAGTCATGAATAATGTTCTATTGTGTGGATGTACCACAGTTTATTTATCCATTCACTTACTGAAAGACATTTTGGTTGATTCCAAGTTTAGGCACCTAGAAATAATGCTGCTTATAAACACCTATGTGATGATTTCTGTGTGGACGTAACTTTTCACCTCTTTTAGGTAAATACTAAAGAGCATGATATCTGGATTGTATGGTGCTAATACGTTTAACTTTGTAAGAAACCACCAAACTGTCTTCCAAAGAGGCTGTACCATTTTGCCTTCCCTCCTACAATGAGTGAGAGTTCCTGTTGCTCCACATCCACATCAGCTTTTTGTAGTCTCACTGTTCTGGTTTTTTGGCCATTCTAGTATGTGTGTAGTGGTATCTCATTGTTGTTTTCATTTTCATTTTCCTGATGACATATAATATGGAACATCTTTTCAAACGCTTATTTGTCATTTGTATATCTTCTTTGCTGAGGTTCTGCTCAGGCCTTTTGCCCATTTTATAATTGGGTTTCCTTATTGTTCAATTTTAAAAATTAACATTTCTTGCAAGGCTTGTCTACTGGCAACGAATTCACTCAATTTCTATTTGTCTGAGAGAGTCTTTATTTCTCCTCCACTTTTGAAGGATATGTAATTAATTATAGGTTGATTTTTTCCCCCTTAACCCTATATACATCATTCCACTCTCTTCTTGTTGACATGGTTTCTGAGGAGAAGTTGGATATAATCCTTAAATTTCCTTCTCTATGGATAAGGTGTTTTAATCCTCTGACTTCTTTCAATATTTTTCCTTATCATTGAATTTCTGCAGTTTGAATGTGATATTTATAGGTCTAAGGTCTTTTTGTTTTTTGTTTTTTTGGCATTTATCTTGCTGGAGTTCCCTGAGCTTCCTGGATCTGTGGTTTGGTGTCTGACATTAATTTGGGGGAAATTCTCAGTCACTATTGCTTCAAATATTTCTTCTCTTCCTTTCTTTCTTTCTTCTCCTTTATATATTCACATTACACATATTACAGCTTTTGTAATTGTCCAACAGTTCTTGAATATTCTCTTCTATTTTTTCACCCTCCCCCCACCCCGAGTTTTGAGGATTCTCTTGAGATATCCTCAAGTGCAGAGATTTTTTTTCTCAGCTGTGAAAATGAGCCAATCAAAGGCATTCTTTATTTGTCTTATAGTGTTTTTGATCTCTCTGGAATTTCTTTTTGATTCTTAGAATGTTCATTTCTCTGCTTACGTTACTCATCTGTTCTTGCATTTTGCTTATGTTTTTCATTAGATCCCTTAGCATATTAATCATAGTAGTTTAAAATCCTCTGTATGATAATGCTGGCATCCTTGTTATATCTGAGTCTGATTCTCATGCTTGCTGTGAATCTTCAAACTGTTGTTTTTGCCTTTGAACATGCCTTGTAATTTTTTTTGAAAGTTGGACATGATATACTGGGTAGAATGACCTCTGATAAATAGGCCTTTAGTGACGTGATGGTAAACTCTAAGGGGCAGAGGGTACCATTCTATAGTCCCGTGATTGGGTCTCAGGTTTTTAGTGAGCCTGTGCCCTTGTTCTGTGAATTTCACAAGAGCTTCTCAGTACTCTCCAGGCGCCCCCCTCCTTAGGTAGGACAGATGGCTAGAAGGAGCTAGATTGGATATTTCCTTTTCCCCACGTGGAAGGATAGAAGAGGCTGTAGTTGGGTGTTTCTCTTCCATCAGGTTTGTTTGGCTGTCGTAAAACCCCAATAGGTTAGGCTCTAGCAAAGTAGTTTCTCTTAAGGCAGGCCATATTAAGGAGAACAGAATGCTCTGAGAGATTTCAAAATGGTTGCTTTCCCCCTCCCACTGCCTGAAGCATGAGGGAATTTTTCTCTGATATTCGCTGTGAGAATCTGGTAGAGCTCCTGGAGAGAAAACTCACAAAAGTGCGAGGCCCCTCTCACGACTGGGTCCACTGGAGTTTTTAAGTCCCAGACTTGTCCACACTGAGCCTCCAGCAATTTGTCAGCTATAGTTCAGGTTTTCCTACTGCAGCATTGGTTCCTGTGGAGGTTTCTGCTCATGGGTTTCTGCCCTCATAAAAGGTGATGCGCTATATATGCCTTTCTGTCTCTCCAGTTCTCAGGGCACTGGTTTGCTCTGTGACCTCGCTGCTCTGACAGATCTAAGAAGAGTTGTTGGTTTTTCAGTTTGCTCAGCTTTTTACTTGTAGTTAGGATGGAATGACGACTTCCAAGCTCCTTACACATTGGACTAGAAACTAGAAGTCAAAAAATTTTAAAAATAGAGAAGTCAGAAAATTTCCAAAAAAATTAAGAAGACAAGAGAATATTAATAAAAAAATTTTTAGAGGATCAAGAGATCCAACTTCTGAATAATAGCAATTCCAGAAAGAGAGAACAGAGACACAATGCTGTGGGGGAAAATCATTGAAGGAATAATACAAGAAAGGATCTGAGAACTAAGGAAAATGCCAACTGCAGGCGTAGTTTAATGAGTCAACAAAGATCTACACCATAGAACCTAGGTGTGAAACTCCGGGCACTTGCTTCAAGAAGAAAATCATGAATATTACTAAAAAGGAAAAAATAGTCGCATTCCAAGGAGTTCCAGCCTGGAATTCCATGTCCAGTCAAATGTCAATCAAGTTGAGAATAACACAAAGTTGTCTTCAGATATACAAGGTCTTAAAAAATGTACCCTATACATCCCTAGAGAGAATGAGTAGGAGGCAGAGAGGGCACATGATTATCACATTAATTAAGTGATAAAGGAAAGATCTGGAGTGAGGGGAAGCAGTCTCCCCAACAGTAAACAGTGAGTATTAACTTAGACAGACACTGGATATGAATATTTTAGGAAGATGGGGGAAGGAGAAATGAGGAGTGAGAGGAAGATTAGGAAAATGAAATCCTCATCATCAACAGGATAAAGTACATGGATATACTTAAATCTGGTAAAAAAAAATCAGATCATTGCAATATAAACATGAGATTGAGAAATGTGAAGGTAAATACTGGACAAAAGAAGGAAAAAAGCAATAACTGGAAATCAGGATTAGAGGGGATGAGATCAGAGGACAGCTGAGTCCTTTCCTCATGAGCTTTCTAGATCTATCTGAGTTTTCAAATCACATGTGTCTATCACCCTGTTACCTGGTTTCTCTCCCCAGGGTGAAGGAGCGGGAGAGCGTCTCAAAGTGAGAGAGAAGGAGCTGACTCTGCAGAAGGGCATGGTGATGGCCTATAAGAGGAAACAGCTGGTTTTCAAGGAGAATGGCTGGGGTAAGCAGAGGGTGAAGGAGGAGATGCGGAGAGGGGTTCTGCTTCTCCTGAGAAGAGAAACGAGACAGGGAGAGACCATCAGCAGGCAACCTTCCCTTCTTCGCCTCTTGAGGGAGAGGAGGAACATCATTTCTCAGCTGTCCATGGCACACACACGCCCCAGCACCCACAGCCAACCCCTAGGATGGCCTGACGGAAATGTTGCTACAGGAGATAGAGTCTCTTACATGGAGAAGGACAAAAGGGGTGCCCAAGGGGGAGGTGTCCTTCACACTGGGAAAAGTGCGGCCCTAATCCTGACCATCTTTATTCATTCAAGGTCCTGCCATGCTCAGCAGCTCACCTGGGGGAGCCACAGAGCCGTCCCCAGGTTACCCCTAAGATCCCACCACAGTCACAAACAGAACTGCAGATGTTGTGTTCTAACAGCATAATGCAGGATTTTATCTACATCTCTTCCCTCCCTCACTAGCCTCAAAATGAACAGTGTCCCAACACATTGGCTATGGGTTCTGACTCCACACAGACAAACCATTTGCATCAAACCACACTTGCATACATAGGCGGAATTGTAATCACTGAGAAGACCACTAGCTCACCAAACCTGGCGTCTCCCTGCCAAAATGTAAGTCCCTGCTAGAGGTCAGCCTGATACAGTGGGGTCCAGGTCCTTGGAGATGAGGAGATGCTCTCACCATACACGCAGACACACACACACACACACATTATGCACACACACACTCTCTCTCAATCCTTCCTGAAGGAGGAGGGAGGAAGCACTTCCCCTCACCTTACAAAGGCGGTTCCCTGCATAACGATCACTGAGGCCCTTATTTAAGGGTGCTCTTCAGAGAGTCAGATTCAGGAGACAGAGTGAGCTCAGGGACTCTGAGTTTCACAAGCATCCCAGCTGATTCTGACACAAGGGGTCCCCAGGCCACCCTGAGATAATCTGCTGCATCAGGCCAAGAGGGATCCTTGGGGGCTGCAGTGTGGGGCATGAATGACTCCAGCAGGAGTGACTTTGTTTCTCCTGACCTGGCTTCTTTCCATCCAGACATTCTTCTCATCTCAGATGATGACAAGCGGAACACCTTTCCAGAAGGTGAGTCCTAGAGCTGAGTGAGCTCTCTGTCTAGACCTCATACTTGCTGAGCCCTGACCTCTTTTAGAGGCTAAGAGCCACGAAAGGGCCTCAGCCCCACAGACCCCAGGGAGACCCTCCCCTGGCCAGACTCCTCCACTGCCTCCCAGTCTCTCTTGCCTTTGACCTTGGCAAGGGCCCCTGGCCACAAGGAAAGCCACCTTTCTCCTTTGAGGACCGGCACAGGGGTGTGTGTGTGTGTATGTGAGTGTGTGTGTGTGTGTTTGTGTGTGTGGAGGGGAGACTAACTCCCGATGAGTCAGCACTTCTGCTTTCTTTCCAGGGAAAATTGTGCAGCATTCAGGGATGGGTCAGTGGATGTTTTTGAGCAGGAAAGTGGGATCTTATCCCTCCCCCAGGCCTCTCTGCAAAACCGCAACCCCAATGTTGCCTTTGCTGCCCTTCCCCAGGCACGGGGATCTGGCCCCTGGGCAAGGGGCAGGGATGGATGGAGAGGAGCGGGTTGGGGAAGTAGGGGGCAGAAGGTCAGAAAACTGTATGTATTGAGAGACTAACCCTTGGGTGGGGAATTTCATTTCTCTTCTTGGCCTCACAGGAGAGATTCCTCACAGCCTACAAAGAAGTGAATGTGTGTGAGCTGGAGGCGGGGATGGGTCCTTCCTGCACACATCTGGTGAGCAGGGCAAATTGCCCCAGACTTTGTCACCACTGCCCCAGGGCGTGGCCCTAGTTTCTACGGAATGGGGAGGGTTGAGAAGGCTGAGGAGGTGGAGGGATGGACCCAGATGAAGCAGGAAGAGGTTAAGCAAGAGGGAGGAGGTGGTAGGAGGGCAGAATCCTCCAAAGTACCTCTAAAGCAAATCTAGGGGGATGAGAAAGGAAGATGACCACTTGTGATTCCCTTCTAGCAGGAATAGAGACACCCTTTGGTCAAGGTGAGTGTTTATTAAGAAGGAAACTGATCCTTCTGGGTGGGAAACTGCAAGGCTGAGAACCCAAATGGGAGCTTTCCATGCAACTTGGAAAACTGCACTCTACTCCCAAATTTACAGTCGTGCTTCTTCATTCATTCATTCATGCATGCGTGTAACAAACACTTACTGAGGACCCATTGGGCAAAGGCATTATTCGGTGCACTGGGGACATAGCAGTGAACTAAATGGAAATCACCTCCCAGAAGCCTCCATTCTGGGGCCCTATTCCTCTCAGCAGGCGTCCATGAGGCCACCTGGAGTGTCCGGGGAGAAGCAGAGTGCCCCCAACACCCACTGCTTGGTGAATTCTGTAGGACATAGATGATACAGGCAGAATGATGAGATAAGAAGGGTGACCATCTTTGGGGCTACCCCCCCAAGCACTTCATATATACAAGCCCATTTAATCCTCATACCATCCCCACCCAAAGGATGTGGAATCTGAGCCCACAGCACCTAACATTCTCATCTCTAGAGCCCAAAGCTGGAATCCACATTATTCCACACACGTCCAGAAACGAGCACCTTGTCATTCTCTTCCACTTTCCAGAATCTCCTTCTCTCCTGCCAGCATTCTGCCTGCTCATTTCAGAGCACTGGGATTGCCCATCTTTCTATCCTGTTATGACAGCTCCATCTCCAGAGCTCAAGCATGCTATCCACAGAGACACTTTTGGGTTGGTAGATAAAGAGATAGAGATGCTGGCTCATATTGATGGGGAAGGGCTTATCATCTCAGGAATGTTCTAATCTAAGAATTGTCTCCATTCTCTGGTTGATGTTGATGCCTGAGGGCAGAGTTCAAGCACCTACAAGAGGAGGTTTCCCAGCAAATGGAGGCATTGGCCCAGCTCTCAACGGACGTCCAGGATGCTATATTCCATAATATCCTGGCCATGCTCGGGGACAGAGGGGCCCTGCAGGACCTCATGGACATGGTGAGGGGGTCCCACAGCTGCCTAAGGCTGATCAAAGTTGTGAAGGGGTGAATGTTTAGGAGATATGGCTACCAAGATACATCGGGGAGGAGAAATGGGGCAATGCCAGGGGAACGAGAAAGATGTCTGAGATTTGGGACTCTAGCCATGTGCCCAGTGACCAAGGCCTGCGAGTGCAGCCCCCGCATATGGAGGGCATGTGGAATCCCCTGGGGTGAGGTAGAGAGCCATTATAGCCACCCCTTGGTTAATCACTTATAGACACAGAATTTACAGGGAAAATATCATCATCATCATCATCATTGTCATCAATAATACTTGTCTTCTACAGCTTGAACAGGAACACTTGGGTCATTTGAATGGCCCTGGAGGCACCATCCTAAATGAACTGCGAAAGGACTCAAGATATCAATGGGTTAAACCAAAGTACCCCATCCTTTACCTGCTTGAGGCCATAATGGGTAAGAGTGATTTGGAGGAAGAGCGGGAGAGTCACAAGGCTGGTCCCCCAGAACCCCTGAAAGGGCTGAGTTAGATGAACTTCTCCAAAGCCCTTCAGATATTATGACTTTTCATCCTCACATCACGCCTGTCTCCAAGGGCTAATGGGATAAACTCTACATGTGACACAGAGCCTGAGGCCTAGCAAGACTGGCCTAAATCCAGCTAAGATATCATTGGGGCTGAATGATTCCCGGCTCCAGCCTCATAATTCCATCCTCTGGACCATGTTATGTAGCATCCTGGAGACCATCCTAAGAACAGCAGGAGGACTTCCCAGGCAGGGAACTTGACCTTCAAGTCTCATGGGTTTTATTCCTCTGACTCAGAGTTCCTCTCTCACAGGGTCTCCTTGTTCACAATAGGGAAGAAAATCTGACTCTTCATCACTGTTTTTCCCCATATGTCTCCCTGTCCCCAGTACTGAGTGACATCCCACATGATCTGCTGGCCCAGTCCAAGGAGAAGAGGATCCTGTTCCATCAGCGGGAGCTGGTGAGAAATCCCCAGGGGCCAGCATCCAGGGAAGAGGGTGAGGGAACCAGAGATAAGAATGAATCAGAGAAAAGAGAGATGGCACAGGTTCCTGCTGGGAGGGGAGTCCGGCTCCCTCTGTGGCCACTGGGGCTGCATCTCCTTCTGGAGAGCAGGTCCAGCAGGTATGAGGCTACCTCAGGAGGGGGTCAGTTTCCATGGCAACCCCTGCAGAGGCACCCACAGTTCTAAAATAGCCATACAAGAACATGTGTTTGGGAGCTCAGGGGATCTGAGTAACAGCCCTGCTTTACTTACACGGTCACCTTTTGCAAATTGCTCTCTCTCTCTCTCTTTCTCTCCATAGATATGTGTATATAAGTACATCTATGCATATAGATGTACACATATACATACACGCATTGCACACACATGCATATACATATCTAATTCCCGACACCACTGCTCTGCAGGGTAAATGTTAGTATCACCATTTAGCAGCTGAAGAACCAATGCTCACTGATTTCCAATAACGTGTCCATAATCACATCAATCATAGGCCATGATCAGGACATGATTCCTGGTCCCCTTGACGCCAAAGCTTTTTCTCCCTTCAGTTACCCTGCATGACCTCTGGCTCTTGGGACGAAGGTTTTCTCTTCCTGACCTCAAAGGCTGACTTGTAACCTCTGACACTGTTTCTTCTAGGTGAGGAGCATCCTGGAGCCCAACTTCAGCTACTCCTGGAACATTCCCTTCATCATCAAGCGCAACCTCCTTGCCCCACTCCAGGGGGAGGGTTTGGCCATCACCTATGGCCTGCTGGAGGAGTGTGGCCTGAAGATGCAGCTGGATAGCCCCAGGTCAACCTGGGATCTGGAAGCCAAGAAGCCCCTGTCTGCCCTGTATGGGATCCTCTCGATGCTGCAGCAGCTGGCGGAGGCCTGAGGCTTCCCTCGTGGGTGGTCAGTCCAGAGAGGCCTGGCCCCCGCCCCCAGTCTATGCTGTGAGTGTCCTCGATGGGCTCAGGGGACCCAGGGTCACGCCTCTCTGCCTTTCCCGGTGGGATAGAGACAGGGATGGACGGAGACTGGAGGGAAAGTCCTGGGGTGATGGAAATCTCTCTGTCTAGATAAAGGTTTACGCATTTGTCAAAACTCCTCCAATAGTGTGCTGAAGAATCGAGCATTTCTCTGTAAATTTTACTTCAAAACAATGTAGACAAATACTGAACTCTAGTTAATAGTATGCATTCTGAATTGTTTTGGGTGAAGTGCGCTGATGTCAGTAATTTACTTCAAAGTGCACCAAAAAATAAGGTGGATTGATGATAGAAAGACATATATGTGACCAAGGAAATGTGGTAAAATGTTAATAATTAGGGAATATGGGTGTAGGATATATGAGAGTTCTTTTTTATTCCTGAAACACTTTGTAAGCCTGAAATTGTTTCAAATAAAAAATCACCCCCCTTATCTGTGTTTATATGTGTGTGTGTACATGTTCGTGTGTGTATGTATTTTTTTCTCCACATCCTTAAGAAGGCTTGTTATAGCTGCCTTTTTTTTTTTTTTTTTTTTGCTTATAGCCGTCCTGGTGGGTATGAATTGATATCTCATTGTGGTTTTTATTTGCATTTCCCTGATGGTTTACGATTTTGAGCATCTTTTCATGTTCTTATTGGTCATTCATATATATTCTTTGGATAAATGTCTATTGAGATCTTTTGTGTTCTTAAAAATTTGGTGATGGAATGAATATTCAGAGTGATGTAGAGAGAATTTGGGTCAAGAATGACAGAATTGGGTCTAAGTTTTTGGCTTCTGCAGTGGGCTTTTTGTAGTGCTGTGTTTTGAGGAGCTATAGCTGCAAACCAGGCTTGGGTAGGGAAGATCTTACCTGAACTTTGGGTGTATTGAATTGGAAAGGTCTGTGAGATCTCCAAGTGAAGGCGTTGAACAGGTGGTTTGAAATAATGGTGTGGAGTTGAGAAGAGAAGTTGAGTTCAGGATGTAAGTTTGGGAGTTATTGCTCCATAGAAGGTAATTGAAGGCATGGGGATAGATGAGGAAGATTGACTTCAGAGGCAGTACGTGGAAGAAGAGAAGTATTCCTAAGACCGAGCCTGAGGATCTCCAACATTGAAAGGTGGTTGGAGGAGGTTGAGCCAGGAAAGGAAATAACAATGGGGTGGTATAGTAGGCAGAATTTTTAGGAATGGTCCCGAAGATCCCATGCCCTCATCCCTGGAAACCCGTGACTGTGACTTCACTCATGTGATTATGTTATGTTGTACAGCACAGTTGATCTTAAAAATGGAGATATCCCATGGGTCCAACCTAATCAAATAAATCCTTAAAAGGGAGAATTTCCTTCAGCTGATGACACAAGAATTCAGAGAAATTCCAAGCAAGAGAAGGATTCCCTGTGTTGTCACTAGCTTTGAGGATGGAGGGGGCCACGTGAGAAGGAAGAGTGGCAGCTTTAAGGAGCTGAGAATGAGGCCCCTTTAGACAGCCAGCAAGGAAACCTGGACCTCAGTCCCGCTGCTGCAAGGAGCTGGATCCTGCCAACAACCTGAATGAGCTGGAAGCAACTTCTTCCCAGAGCCTCCAGAACCTTGACTTGGCCTTGTGAGACCAAAGCAGAGAGCCCAGGCAAGCTTGTCTTGAATTATGATCTACAGAGTGTGAGACAATAAACAAATGTTGTTTTAAGCTGCTAAACTTGTGGTAACTTGTTGAACAGCAATAGAAATCAATGCAGGGGGCTAGAGGAAGGAGGAAAAACCAGGAGTGTGTTGAATCATCAACATTTTAGGAAGAGTGTTTTTCAAGGAGAAAAAGGCCAAAAGATTTGAATGTTTCTGAGAAATTAAAAAAAATTAATACGTAAAACATATGTATTAGGTTTAGCGACATGGATGTCATTTAGGGAGGTCAGCAGGTCTATTTGTGGGGAGCGATGGGCCCTGAAGTCGCCCTGGTGTGGGTTGAGGAAGAATGGGAGGTGAAGTCGTGGAGATGGCAAGGGTGGACATCTCGAAAAGTTCCCTCCCTGTTGGCGGGGAAAAGAAGATGGTTCTAAGGCAGTAGGTTCCTCGGGTGGGAGGCGGTTGGAGGGTTGGGTGAGAACTTCTTTCCTCTTGAGTAGGACGGAGGACCAAGAGGAAGCATCAGCAGTGAGGGAGAGGTTGAAGATTCAGCAGAGATAAGTGATACGGGTGAGTTATTTTACTTGAGATTTGGGCTTCCTCCCTTGTAAAATGAAGTTTTTTTGACTAGATGATTTCTGTTTATTTCTAAGGCTCTCATATTGTGTGATTATGGTTGTCACTTTTAGCTAAACTCCCAGTCTTGCTTGGTTCTTACAACGCTTTGGGAATTTCCTTTGGTTCAAGTCACCAAAGTCCTTCTAATTGAGGGTCCTTGTCTATTCTTTTGACCAACTCTCTCCTCAAACACGTTCCCAGGTGTCATATGGGCATGCTCCCCTGAAGGCTCTAGGGCACAATCCTCCCTTTCTTCTTCTGGCTTCTGGGAGATGCCAGCGATTTCTGACATTGCTTGGCCTGTGAATGCATCACTCTGATCTCTGTCTCTATCTTTTTTTTTTTAAATTTTTATTTTTTTCGGATGTACATCATATTTCTAATTCTGGATACATTACATCATGTTCACCACCCGAACACTAATTATAGTGCATCCCCTCACATGTGACCCTAATCACCCCTTTTGCCCTCCCCCTCCCCCTTCCCCAATGGTAACCACCAGTCCAATCTCCAATGCTATGTGTTTTTTTTTTTTTGTCGTTTTTATCTTCTACTTATGAGTGAGTCATATGGTATTTGACTTTCTCCCTCTGAATTATTTCACTCAGCATAATACCCTCAAGGTCCATCCATGTGTCACAAATGACTGGATTTCGTCATTTCTTATGGCTGAGTAGTAGTCCATCGTGTATAAATACCACATCTTCTTTATCCATTGTCCCTTGATGGGCACCTAGGTTGCTTCCAAGTCTTGGCTATTGTGTATAATGCCCAATGAACATAGGGGTGCAAGTATCTTTATGCCTTTGTGTTTTCAAGTTCTTTGGATAAATACCCAGCAGTGGAATAGCTGGATCATACAGTAGATCTATCCTTAATTTTCCGAGGATACTCCAAACTGCTTTCCATAGTGGCTGCACCAGTTCGCACTGCCACCAGCAGTGAACAAGGGTTCCCTTCTCTCCACACCCTCTCCAACATTTGTTGTTTCCTGTCTTGTTAATTATAGCCATTCTGACCGGAGTGAGGTGATACCTCATTGTAGTTTTGATTTGCATTTCCCTGATAGCTAATGATGTTGAGCATCTTTTCATATGCCTGTTGGCCATCTGTATTTCTTCTTTGGAGAAATCTCTGTTCAGATCTTTTGCCCATTTTCTAATTGGATTGTTCATTTTTTTTGTTGTTGAGCTGTATGAGTTCTTTGCATATTTTGGATATTAACCCCTTATCTGATATGTGGTTTGCAAATATCTTCTCCCAATTGTTAGGTTGTCTTTTCGTTTTGTTGATGGTTTCCTTTGCTGTGCAGAAAGTTTTTAGTTTGATGTAGTCCCATTTGTTCTTTTTTTGTTTTGTTTCCCTTGCCCGGTCAGACATGGGACTTGAAAATATGTTGCTCAGACCAATGTCATAGAGCGTACTGCCTATGTTTTCTTCTAGAAGTCTCATGGTTTCGGGTCTTACATTCAAGTCTTTAATCCATTTTGAGTTGATTTTTGTGCATGGTGTAAGGGAATGGTCTACTTTCATTCTTTTGCATGTGGCTGTCCAGTTTTCCCAACACCATTTATTGAAGAAACTCTCCTTTCTCCATCGTATGCTCTTGGCTCCCTTGTCGAATATTAGCTGTCCATAAATGTGTGGGTTTACTTTTGGGCTCTCAATTTTGTTCTATTGATCTGTGTGTCTGTTTTGTGCCAGTACCATGCTGTTTTGGTTACTGTGGCTTTGTAGTATAATTTGAAATCGGGGAGTGTGATACCTCCAGCTTTGTTCTTTTTTCTCAGGAATCCTTCAGCTATTCGGGGTCTTTTGTTGTTCCATATAAATTTTGGGATTCTTTGTTCTATTTCTGCAAAAAATGTTGTTGGAACTTTGATAGGGATTGCGTTGAATCTATAGATTGCTTTAGGAAGTATGGACATTTTAACAATGTTAATTCTTCCAATCCAAGAGCACAGAATATCTTTCCATTTATTTGTGTCTTCCTCGATTTCTTTCAACAATGTTTTATAGTTTTCAGTGTACAGATCTTTCACCTCTTTCATTAAGTTTATTCCTAGGTATTTTATTCTTTTTGTTGCAATTGTAAATGGGATTGTATTCTTAATTTCTCTTTCTGCTACTTCGTTGTTAGTGTATAGAAACGCAATGGATTGTTGTACATTGATTTTGTATCCTGCAACTTTACTGTATTCCTTTACTATTTCTAAAAGTTTTTTAGTGGACTCTTTAGGGTTTTCTAGATATAAAATCATGTCATCTGCAAAGAGTGACAGTTTCACTTCTCCTTTTCCAATGTGGATCCCTTTTCTTTCTTTTTCTTGCCTGATTGCTCTGGCTAGGACTTCCAATACTATGTTAAATAAGAGTGGTGACAGTGGGCATCCTTGTCTGGTTCCTGTTCTTAGAGGGATAGCTTTCAGTTTTTCTCCATTGAGAATGATATTTGCTGTGGGTTTGTCATATATGGCCTTTATTATGTTGAGGTATTTTCCTTCTATACCCAATTTATTTAGATTTTTTATCATAAATGGATGCTGTATCTTGTCAAATGCTTTCTCTGCATCTATTGAGAGGATCATGTGATTTTTATTCTTCATTTTGTTAATGTGGTGTATCACGTTGATAGATTTGTGGATGTTGAACCATCCCTGCATCCCCAGAATGAAACCCACTTGATCATGATGTATGATCTTTTTAATGTATTGCTGTATTCGAATTGCTAGTATTTTGTGGAGGATTTTTGCATCAATGTTCATCAGTGATATTGGCCTGTAATTTTCTTTTTGTGTGTTGTCCTTGTCTGGTTTTGGTGTCAGGATAATGTTTGCTTCGTAGAAGGAGTTAGGAAGCCTCCCCTCCTCTTCAATTTTTTGGAAGAGTTTGATAAGGATAGGTATTAAGTGTTCTTTGAATGTTTGGTAGAATTCACCATGGAAGCCATCTGGTCCTGGACTTTTATTTTTTGGGAGGTTTTTAATTGCTGTTTCGATCTCCTTACTGGTGATCGGTCTATTCAAATTTTCTACATCTTCTTAGTCCAGTTTTGGAAGGTTGTATGTTTCTAAGAATTTATGCATTTCTTCTAGATTATCCAATTTGTTGGCGTATAGCTTTTCATAGTATTCTCTTATTATCTTTTGTATTTCTGAGGTGTCCGTTGTAATCTCTCCTCTTTCGTTTCTGATT